AAATGTTGAAATTATTCGTTTTTGGTTAAAACTATTACGTGATGTTTCTCCACATATTTTAAAAGAATCGTATAAATTTCAACTTAATATGGCAGGAGCAGGTACTATCTGCTGGGCTTTGACAGTTAAAAATCTTCTCTATAAATATGGTTTTGGACATATTTGGATTGTATTCCTGGAACTATTTAAACAGAGGTGCTTTGATATTTCCAGACAAGATTGGAGCTCTGAAATTAATAGAAGTCTCAAACTAGTAACTTATTGTAAGGTGAAACATGAATTAACATGTGAGAAATATCTTACAAATATTGGTCAGTCTTATGCAATATACAGAAATGCTTTATGTAGATTAAGGATCTCGTCCCATGTACTACAAATTGAAAAGGGTAGGGCCAGTGGTACTCCACGTAACCAGAGGTTGTGTCCTTTTGGCTGTAATGTAATTGAGGACGAATATCACTTTACATTAGTTTGTCCCAAATATAACTCCCTAAGGTTGAAGTTTATTGCACAGTATTACTACTCCCCACCTACAGAGATAAAGTTTATTTCATTATTTCAGAATCAAACCCCATATATACAGTTAAACCTTGGTAAATTTATATTTTATAGTTTTCTTTACTTGTTTCAGCGACCATTCCAATCTAATTTATTATGTATTTATTTGTATCTGTACATAAGGCCAATGGCCACAGTACGAAATAAAGATATTAGTTTCAAAGCATTTTACACTATGCCTTCACTGGCAATAATTTATTTCCATATCTCTAAATTTTGTACAGAGACATAAAGTTAACGTTACCTAACATGTTGGTGCCGCTAGTCATACCGACAGACTTTCCAACGACGACAGTTTTTGTTACATTTGTACCGTTGACACCTGATACAATCACGTCATCAGTCTCGTACTCTGTGTAAGCCTGCAATGAGAAATATTTATATTTTCGTTTAGCTAGGGGAGCCATAAATCTGCCTCGTTCAACAAAAGTTAAAGTTGCACTCTTTGATTATTCGGCTTAATGGTGTCTGGGGGCAATTATGTGAAATATTTAATGGCATATGTGCTAATTATCAAAAGTATCTACGGATTCGCTACCACTGGCCATAGATCACAGTAATTCGGAACGGATGCGAATCTTCGTGAATTAAGACCCATTGGAATCAATACAAATTAAATGTGCAATACGTGTTAACCAGAATTCGCGCACATTTAGATCATTAAATAGTTATACATGACCCTAAGGGATCTAGGAATATTCTCAACTGACTGCATATTTAATGTGTGTTTCAATAATAACAGGGTATATTTAATCACATTCAATTCATTCTTATTTCGGGTTATCTAATCTTAGCACATCCTGTCATCCTGGGTGTGATCTCTTCAATTCGAAGAATAGCAGACAAATGTGATTTACACTTAAGGTAGAAGCCTAGTCTAAATTGGCCATAAATTGCATGACAATGTTCATTCGTTTATTATGTACAATCATGAAGCTAATGTTCCATGGTATAATGAAATAGCATTATGTTTTGTGTTACAGTTATGCTTTTTGAGAAACGTGTTCCAATATTTCTTAAAAATTGCTATTTTTAGAACTATTGCATAGGACATGATGTTAAAGAAAAAATGGATTTTTTGACACTTTTTAAAACCCCGATTTTTTTAATAATTCAGAACAACAGAAGGTACTCCATCATTAACAATATATGATTTTTATGATGTCATCAGGCTAGATTTTGAGATATTGCATAATATTTCTGCCATAAGAACCTGTGGTAAAAGTGTTATAATAGTGTCAAAATGGCGACTTTCCACTAAAATACAACGATCAATTTCTCGAAGGTCAATACCTTTATATTTCCTTGGAGTACAATTTATTGCAAAATGAATAAATTCTGGGTTTTTAAATTTATGAGTTTAACCGTTCAATTCTGGGATTGCACCGAGTGCTCATGGGTAAAGTAAAGTAGAATAATTACCGTTTGAATACATGCGGCGACGATGTTGTCCGGGACGAGGTTCCTGCCAAAAACGAAAAATAAAAATTGATACCAAAAGAAGAAATACATTTATATGATTTCAAAACCAACACCGATATTACACTAAGTTGTTTACGACTTAATTATAACAATTCAACACAAAGTTCTGAGGTTCAGCCTGAATTGAAGATATGCGATGGGAACCGAAAATGAAAGTGTTCCTTGTCATGGAAATCCTAATACTGTTATAGCATTTAAAAATGACATAATATGAGTGTTTCCAGTTTGTTAATAGTTTTCATTACATACAATAGGTTCCACCTTAACCAGTGAAATAAAAGTTTCGTGAGCAGCAAACAATTATATGTGTTTTACCTTAACAGATCGGCAAATGTATCCTGCGTTTGGTACTTGGCAACTTCTATATCAGAAGTACCACCTTCTGTCTTTCCCGGTTGAATGATAACGGTCATTATCAATCCTGTTGCCACGGCAACCACCATGGCGGCAAATATGTATGTAAAGGTGACAGCACACATTCTTCCACTGGTACCAAGGTTAATAGAACCAACGGCTGAAATGTAACGATGAGGATGTCATGAAATAAAGCACTCCTTTCTCGGGGCGTTTTCTGAAAGTTTTTGGCCTTTTTTCACAGGTGATGACTGACAGGCGGACATTTTTACCGAGAATAGTAAATAGCGACAAACGTGTTTCAAGAGCCTTGGTTTCTATGGCACTGCACTGAAATGTGGTCGATTTTTAGTGCGAGGTATAAATGCGTGTAAACAAACATTTTGATGGAAAGGCCATTTATGTTAAATTTCCCTTGACGCAATCGTGCAATGATGCGTGCATAATCGATGAAATGAAGTTGATTGGTGATTACATCATGGATGCGATGATGTCTTTATGTTCACCAGAAGCAGATCACTCGTTGGCTTCTTTGAGATTCACAACTCTATATGGAAATGGGTTTTAGTGAAGACATGCATTGAAAAGGGAAATACACTTTGTATTAAAGCGAGAGGGTGGTCACCTGCGCACGCACTTAAATTGAGTCCCAAGCGATGATAACAACACACGCTGAGAACGCAAAGGCTCATGGGTAGACGCTTGTTTGTAAAACAATGACACGCTATGGCCCGCTATGGCCATCTGACGCACGCGGAGGTGATGACTCCCCGTGTTTTCCATTATTAGTCATTCAAAAAAGTGTGAGCGACAATCCAATAAGATACATGCCTCGTTAGTTAAAATGAATGAATCGTAGTCTATTGATTTGAATTCATGTATGGATCATGGTAAATGACGTATACAAAATTCAACATGTGTATAATTGATTGAAGGCGATCCAGCCATTAATTGTTCTAAATTATCTGGATTGTAATTAAAATATATGCAAACTAACTGCTTGGATGAATGAAAATTTTGAGTGACACGGATCGAGTCACACGAATAAAACACGACAACCAATATATATAGTAAATTAAGCAAATTACCTGTTATTACACTGGAAACAATTAACGGAATGATTAAAAGTTGTAGACCTCGTAGAAACAGCTCACCAGCCATACCTATCCATATAATAGCATCAAGAGATGGATTCAAAGGCTATAAAGGAAAGGGTAATTTTAGTAACTTTAGCTCAGTATATGCAGTCTATGTTTAGTGTTTATTCTGATGCCACGATTCAGAAAATGCATTCTGTAAATATGACCAAAGAGAACACGTTCTACCAATTAAAGGATTGGATCGATGCAATAAAGTTATAATTATTCAGCATTAATCAAAGTATACTCGTAAAAAATAATTAATTCATAACGGCAGTACGTTGTAACGTCTCGGCGTAAATTCAATATTTTTTTATTAAAAAAAAGAATCCACGTTTACATTTAAAAGTTTGGATCATATATATTATGCCAAAAAGGTCCGTGAATAATGACGGCCAAGTGAATTTCTAATTTTTTGGATTCTAACATTTTGGTTTTTGGCGTAATTTCATTATCACGAATTGGTAAGTAATCACAATTTAGATTTTAGCTGTGATTCTTTAAGTTATTTCCTACGGTGGTGACATTTAGTTTTCCACAATAGAATTTTGACATGAACGACGAAAATCAAAATCATATTTTCAGTTTTGAGACTGTTCAAATTTTATTGGCGCGCTAGGAGATACTGTCAGTTATTTGCACATCGAGTAATGCTATATATATATAAACACGTGTATTACCTAAAGCACGTCGTACATAACAACGTTATTCTAGGGAGTTCACTATGTCAGTAATTAGTGATATTATAATGTAATTTCTTAACTATTTCATTCAAATTAATTAAATTTGATTGTATCCCACCTAGATAAATTTGAAATTTAATTTCATTCTAATAATTGGTTTTTACTTTTATAATGGACATGCTCATAAACGGTGGTGCATGACTCTTCGTTGACAAAAAAATCAATAAAACTCGAAATTAATAGGTTTGGTCGGAGAAGGCCTGCTAATATGTCTCTTCCTGCCTTTAGATCAAAGAAATTCTCATTATTTTACAATTCTAAATTCTTATGACATTAAAGGGTGACTTTCAACGAAATGTTCTCTCTTAATCTTTGGCTTGGCTTCACGATGTGCGATGTGCGCAGAATCTTTTGAGCTCATAGTTGCCCTCTTAGATGGACTGCCTGCCACAGCTCTCGAGCGGAGCCCAATCTACCCAAGACATGTGCTTGTGACTGTGCAAAACAGTCGTCTCCCAAACCTAATACCGCGTGTTTGGAAGGTTGGGTAGGATGTACACGGATTTAAACTACCGAGTAAGCAGTAAGCTCCAGGAAATGATTTCAACCTCCCTTGTCCGTCTCATCTCTTTTCTGTACTAAAATACTACTTTTAGCTTTTTAATTTTCACTGAAATTTTTTTAAAAGATGTTTTGTATGGAATTTATTTTCACTGATTGTTGAAAATTTGAATGTAAAATACAGGAAAAAAGGCACATTTCACTGGATTTTATTTTCAATGAAACATCCACTGGCATTCTGCAAAAATAGCGAAAAAAACATTCCAGCTTTTTTTTTTACAGTATTCCGAATAATCCTGTCGCCTTTTTAGCATGCATTGGAAAGAGATATATAATTAAGTGTTGTACACAGTTTGTCCCGTAAGAGTCACAGTAATACCGAAAAAAAAAACACTTACCGCGACCGTGAAAGCTAATATGAAGCCCACGGCGACGCCGATCATAGTCAGTATGAGCAACAAGTTATTGATCGCCCACTCGGCCCAACAGCTCTTCGAACACTCTACCTTGACCATCTTGTTATTGCTAGTGTGGTGACGACGTCGTTGATTCTCAGGTAATTTGAATGTATCTGTAGAAACGAATGTGTTTATAGTTAGTCTCGACCGGAACTGAGGACGCATATAATATATACAGGTAATATTGCTCGACTCCAATTGGTCGACAGACGACTCGTGATAATGACACAACTTAACGCTCTACTGGTAGCAGCCAATCAGGAAGCTGTTGGTATACGAGTATGCACATTTTGATGTTCATTCATTAAATAAAAAAAAATGACATTATAATTTAAAGCGTGAGTAGAGTACAAACACCGGACATTATTATATATTCTTTTGAAATGAAGAACGCTTACGGATTTGATGTTGTAGATACAGTCAAACCTCGATTATCCGAATTACGGATTATCCGAACATGTTTCCAAAGTCCCATATCATGGAAGGTACTAACCTTCCATGCCCATATGAAATTTATTTACAGAACAGGTCCGCATTTTTTATCTCCGTTGTTTGTTAACAAAAGAGTTGAAGAATGGGGTTCTTGTCACCTCTTTGTTTTGACGTACTTGCTAAGTTACGTCTTTGTTTACCATGAAAGTGGTGTTACCGACGCACGCTCGATCATCGCGTATTTAGCACGTCCGTGTCGGACAGTCATTTGATCACAGTCGGTTCCTTTGCTCAGCGTGAATAAAATAATTCACAGGTAAAAATGATTGACGTACACAATGATTTAAAACGAGAACATTTTCTGGAATATCATCATTCAC